GCTTGATCAGCAGTTACTATGAATTGAATTTTCTACGAATTTAGTAGAGCTGCAAACGACCACGCAACGTTTTAAAACTCACCATAATTCAACTCGAGGGAAGAGATAATTGTAGCCTCTGCACACATACTGCATATCAAAAGAGCTCACGATTTAATTGTTCACGTACGAAGATCCATTCGGATAAATTGTCGGCGATCGTATAACTCGGTCCCAGTCTCAGGATCGAGAAGGGCCCTCTCGTCTTTCCCTTCAAGTGACTACCGATTTTAACTTGCTGGTAGGTCCAGTCCCTCATCCATATCCGGGGGGGTGGGGTTCCTTTATTTAATAGCAATGGCCTCCTTCAGTCTGCTCTTGATGGTGTTGTTTTCGTCAGATAGAACTTTTACATTGGGTGGGTTGATGTTGTGACCTGTGACCTGGCAATGCTCGAAAAAGGCAGATTATCAGGGGACTGGTGTTCTTTGATCTACCACCAATTCAGTACAGAGCTACGCGCAAAAAGAGCAAAAGCGACATTTTGCCTTAAAATTCGATCTGTGTTGACTTAAAAAACAAATACAGAACTATCGTGGCTACATCAAGGTGTCAGTCTATCATGTGCTCCAAAGAGAAGACGTAGCACTTAACTCCATGAATCAACTTACATATTGAGTTCTCGAGTTTCACTCCGGCACGGTTCTATTCTTTCCACTGCTGTTTCAGGACAGAAAAAAAAACACCCAAAAAAGCTGAGCAAATCTTCGAAAAGTATAATTACTTTTGCAAACGGACCATATTTTGTTTCAAAGAAGTTAAAAAAACTGTATTCTGCACCGAAGATGAATGAAGTTTTGAAATTCATTTCTTTTTCCTGTCACTTATTCCGTAAAAAGTGTGAAAAATCACGCAACGTTTTTTAAAAGCGGTTACTTCCTCGGATAGACTTTTTGATAATTAATATAGAATAACAACGAGAGTCTAAAGCTTTTAAAAAGCGTCAAACCAAAATAAGATCACCATTTTCAAGTCGATAGGTTTATAAGTGAACAAAAATACTAACAGTAGGGAAAACAAGAGATAAATGTTTGTAAATTGTGTGTGTGTGTTTTTTCTAATCGGACAAAAAATTTCCGTCTAAACAAAAACAAAATTCGAACACTTCATCGTCCCAGCACTTCAAATCAATCATTGTAAATAAATAAAAATGTTACAGCACGCACCACTTTTATCGGCGCCAATCCCTGGTAGCAGTACCATGTGCAGAGTAAAACTCGCTCCATTTACCAGCAAAGACAAGAATCCTTTAACGAACTTATTCATGGTAAAAGAAATTATTCTTTTCTGCTGATAAGGACAAAGCAGTTAGTTCCAACGTGGTTGGCATCAACTGATTGACTGAGAGTCATTCAAGTATCCGATCAAGTTGCTGTGGTACAGTGAATGCTAATAATGAATATTATTTTACTGCCTTACTTCAAAGAGCCTTTAAAATGCTCATGTTACATATCCCAGTAAAGAGGAGGGGGAGGGGGAGGGGGAGGTGGGGATGCCCAACAGATCTCATTCAAATATCCATACCCCCCCACGGAAGGGATCGGATTTTCCAGTGGGGGAGGGGGGTCAGTTTGCCTAATTTTCGGGTGGGGAGGGGGGTCACCATAGGGAAATATTTCCAGAGGGTTCTCGTGACGCGTAAGAGAGTAACAAAGAGAAAACAGAAAAATTTAACAAGACAATTTATTTGCGAAGATATAAAACACGACGAAAGTTAAAGAGCTACTAAACCTATGGATTAATGGACATAACGAACATATTTTGACTTGACTTCTCACGTAGTCAGAGTATCAGGCCTTTCTGGGGAAAAGGGGAAACTAGAGAGCTTAAGCAACAGCGTAGTTGAGCGACGCACGTCAACCGGAAGTGGACTTTTTGCATCATTGGGCAGTGGATTGGTTTAAACACTCGGGCAAATCGTTTTTATAACAGAAAAGAAACTTAGCAATACAAATTTGTTAGAGTCAAGGCATATAAAAGAGAAGAAGGCCTCACTTCCGGTTGACGTGCGTCGCTAAAAAACGTCTTTGCTTAAGCTCCCTACGTGACAGTTTTTGTTTACAAACGTATCATGTATGAATAGTTACCCATCTCTGCTCCTTTGTAGCCATCTTCGCTTTCATAATTATTATCAATGGATTATCGACAGTATAGACATACGTTTTAATTACTAGCCTCTGGTGGGGCTCCATGAAGCTAGCCCAAACTGTATTCAGACTGTCTGTTATTTTTCTTAACAAGCCACGAAACTTTGCTTTACCATTGGGCTACTTGTAAAGAAACAACACAAAAGCCCAACTAATGTTTTGCCAGCCCTTCATTGTGGAAGAATTTTTACTTGGTTTGAGTTAACATGTTGAAATGAATGCTAGGAACATGTTAACAAAGTAAAACGGAACTCTGGGTATAACCTTGCAAAGTGAATGCAGTTAATTTCCACTTGTTGCAGTAAACTGATTGCTTCTCTTTCGCTCCTTAGTTATCGTAGAGACTACAATAATATCTTCGGTAGATTAAACCCCAAAGAAGGTAGCCAGTATTTCAAGATATTGAAGTGTGTTCGCATGCATTTCCAAGTTATTCTTTTTCTTTGTCAAAAGTAATTTTGCATCAATGAACAGCCACATCATTAAGAATTATTGAGGATCAATAACATTCAATTTACGTTTATTTTTTGCGGTGAGGATCGCTCGACTGCAAGATAACTGTCAATCATATTAAGCCGAGTCTTTCACACAACAACAGGGTTCTGTTCCGGCAGTGCTAGATGACCCCTTCTGGTGACGTAAGCTATCCGAACAGATGAAAAAAGATAAAAACATGCTATCTACCGTTTAAATACCAAAATACCTGGAGTGGTTTTGAACTTTTATAGTTTCAGAGCTTTAGCTATTCACAAAAGAAACATGGATCCCTTGATTTTATAGTTTATGATTGAAGATTACAGTTGCTGTCATTTGCAAGAAATATCAGGCAACAATAATGTTGTGATATTATTTAAGTAGCATGCCTGTTCAATACTGCTACCCCAGGAATTGCCTCAACAGTGCAAGAACATTGCTGAACATCCAACAACTAGCATTACTAGGGTCCAACAAAACGAGTTTTTTACCAAACATTTTGGTATTTGTCGCTGACCTACAATTAATGTCACCCAAAATTGTTGGAATGGGTTTTCTTCTAGGCATGTACCTGTATAAGTAGATCTGTTGAAATTAACGAACTATAAAAATGACATGCTTCAAATTTTAAGTACAGTATTAACAATGGTAATACTGTAAATGTAAAATTTCAGACTTCCATACTAGTTACCATTTTCATACTAAGTAATCACAAAAAGAAATCCAATTTCTAGTAACAAAAATTGTTCATTTTTAACTGTGACTCGTACTAGTTACCGGTAAGTATGATTTATGACACGGTAAACAAAGCCTAAAAAGAATGTTCAGCTAGTTAATCGGCCTAGTGAAAACACAACCTTAAGGTTAGCCTGCGCGCAGACGAAATGAAGTCTGGTTAACTAATCAGAGTTTACTCGTCTGCACGCAGGCAAACAACCGGGACGATCAGACAGACTCTAAAATCCACCAGCCATGTGCTTATCTTCAAAAATGACGTCATACACAATGTGCATTGTTATTTCGTGTTCTTTGGGATACCTGTGGTGATTTTGTCTATATATCGAATAAATGTTTTTTTCTGTCTGAAAAACAAACTAAAAATACCAAATAGACCACATACATCAAATAATTGTTCAGAGCTTAGGAAAAGCTACAAACAACACGGTTATCGGGACAAAAATAATTCACGACACACGGTTAATTTTTTGGACGTTTCACGCCACACGCTTAACCCCATTGAGATCCTCTTAAGCAGGGGCTCCTTGCGGGATTTTTCAAACTCCGGCTCGGAATTTCCTTCGGCTCGTCACGAATTCCTCCCGAACTATTATTTTCACGCCGAGACGTTTTTAACCACAAAAAGCGACCGTCGTGGCTGTTTTAAGGCGTCCCGGCCTTAAGTATGAACAGGAGAACATAATGCAAGGCGGATTATGGGCTCATGCTATCCCAGGGGATATTTTGTATTTCTGGGTACTTTCTTCCACCGATCCCTAGATCACATAACGTTCCGTATTTCGGTCGTTGCAAAGGAGTTTGGGCGCCCACGAAGTTTGACTGTCGTTTAAGGGGTATGTTTGTCTATTACATCATTGAATAATAGATTGAAATTATGCATTCAGTTTGTCTTTAGGATTATCGAAAACGTTCAGAACACACCGTCCAAGGTACTCGCGAAATATCAGCATAGAATTGCGGAATTGATCTAGCCGGCAATATTTGAAGCTCCTTGTTGTAATATAACTTGGTTTCGGGCGAGACGTTGATGTTTCAACTGAACAGTGTGGCGAATATGGGATCGTGATTATATACTTATTGAGCACGGACTGTCTCACAAAAGATAACCCGGTGGGGTTAGTGTGTGAAATTTGAATTCAGATATGAAGGCTTCAAATGCATATTAACTTTGATTCTCTTTGTCTACATCTTTTATGATTGGATGCTCTAAAATGAATAAAGAAAGTTATCCGAGAAATTGCTTTTAAATAAAAGAAAAGAACAGTCGGATAAAACTTAGCCCCAGTCAGCGTTAATCGGCCTTCGATTCGAACAACTGGGCGGAAGTTCTCTATCGCATATGACATGATATGAGGTGCTTTCAAACGATAAGGTCTTTCGACAGGGACATAAACTTTTAAACCAGTTCGTTTTGCGTTTTAACAGCGAAATATCAAGCTTCAGGTTTCAGTAAGGGAAAAAATCCTGGGGATGAGGTGCGGCGATTCCCGTTCTTTGAGCTCGCTATTTGCTTTTGCACGTTTTGCGAGCCTAACAAGATAGGGGCAGCCGCTGACAGATTAAATAAATACCGTTTCTATGGCAACGGAAGTCAAAAGAACAATCATGGCGCGGTGGCATGAACGATTTACATGATCGTTGTTTTGGGTACTGTTCAAATCACTTCACAAAGCTTAGAATGTATAGAATGAAGTTCAGAAACGCTTACATATCGATTTCAAATTAAATTTTCACAAGATGGTAGAGAAATCTAAACCCACGGCTGCCGCGGAGAGGTTGGAGAGTCTGCCGAAACGACCAGGTAAGGCATCATTCGCCATTACTATTTTATGACAAAGCAATTATCCCCCATTAAAGGTTTTATTGACCACTGAATTTTTTAACACTATGTTGTTGGGAACTTCTCTGTCATGTTCAGTGCATCTCTAGCCTGTTCACAGGCTCTCTGTTTGGGGAAAGGGTGAAACCCCCTTCCCTCTCCTCGCTATTTTTTCACTCTTGCCCCACACAGATAGCCTGTTCACAGGCAAGTGCATTTCGAGCAATAAAATTTGTGAAAACATCCTTAATCGGTATCTTGATGGTACAGGATAGCCACTGTAGCTTTGGCATCAGAGTGGTGATTGAGTTAAAGATCAACCAGAAGCAATAGTTTAATAAGTTACTTGTACATTGAGGGTGGTTTATACTTACACGTACTCATGTTGTTGTTATAAATATAAAGTATTTATTTTGCCAAGCACACGGTTTCTTGAAAGAGCAGTCTCAGGCCTACATCACTTTATTTACAGCGGGGTAAATAAACGTACATCTCACTTTATTTTCGTTTGATTCTGGTTTTAAGATTTTAAGTTTTCCAAGGCTGTGCTCTAAGCAAAATTTCAGGGAGCCCTTCGGGCTTCCAAGCATGTTATTTAAGTCGCCCAGACCTCAAAGTTGGTCGCCCAAATAAAAATTTCGGGGAGCCCTTCGGGCTCCCAAGCATTCCAGCTGGGGTGCCCAGGCCTCTTAAGTTGGTCGCCCGAGTACATCTGATGAGGAAGTATTTTGAACAAACGCGAATCTTACTCGTCTGCTGATCACCAAACTCGGTAATTTTAGCTTTTGGGTTCGACAAAAACCCGCTTGTTGTCTTATGAAACCCATCAAAGTTTTCGTGCCATTCAGATTTAAAACCAGAAACGTGAGCAATGCTGCCGAATTGTTTAGGTTTTAAAGAGAGAAAAGTAAAAAATTTCAGCAGGTTTACGTAAACTTCACTAAGATCTTTGGGTCAAACATAGAAAAACTGTGCTTTTTACCAGTAATACTAGACTTGAAAATAAATTTTCAAAAGGTGAATCAATGCGGCATGAAATATAATGTGACGGAGTTTTATACGCGGTTGATCGAACTCAAGTTCCCGTGAAAAATACCGTTAAACAGTCACACTGCCACGGCCCCAAACCTATTGTTTTAATAAAAAATAAGTCATATTTAATTTTCTTTTCTATATTATCACTGAATCTTTTAGGATAATTGAGCTTTTCGTGGATACGGTCGAAGCGTAAACTAGCTCTTCTTTCTGTGTTTTTATTTCATTTTTTTGGCCGCTAAATTTATCCTGCATGCGAATTTAGTTTTCGATACATAAAATGCCAAGACAACGTCGGAACTACCCTGTTTCTAAAACAGCAATAAAAATGATCAGAACAATCATATCTTTTCTTTTTGTATTTCGTTATCTTATGTAAAGGGAAGAAAACAATCATATGTTATGTTTTAGCCAAGCAGACTGAGAGCAGCCAAAAACCGTAAAAACATTATATTTGCATACTGGTCAATACAGCAACTTCCGTTTTCTGCAAAAATAAATTACTCCACGTCGCCTGCTGCGCTTTACATCTGTGAGAAAAGTATTGACAGTTTCTCCTAAAAACTGTACCTAATGAACCCTTCTATCTGAAAGAAAAAATTTTAAAACTATTTTAAGCAGCAGTACAAATCGAAATCCTCGCCGCTTGTCACGTTTAAAGTGATGGATTATGTTACGTGTGAAATCATGCAGAACGACATCGACGTGCACCCGTTTCTCTCGTACAAACATTCGTAAAAACATTTTCTGTAGGGTTTAGCTAAACTCTGACTCAACAAGCCAACACCAGTATGTTAAATTTTTCTTCCTGCTTAACTGAACACTGCATCAGAAGCAAGAGTGCCCGGCCGGGCGACCGGGAACTTTTTTTCAGTCACCCGAAGCTAAATGTTAGTCGCCTCAGGTGACCGGGCGCTGTAGAGCACAGCCTTGTTTTCTATTTTTCCTAAAACTGGATTTTTCTCAGTGGTAAATCAGTATTGCCCATTTTTGTATCACCCAGTCAAAGTTAAAACTATCAGTGTCATATACAGGGCTTCGCTTCGCCAGCACGTTCCGGCACCCTTGATTTTAGAGGCTCAGAACACTGGGCTCCCTAGAGCACAGCCTATTGCTATACATACCACTTTAACTGACTGAGGGTGTGCACAGAGGGCATTACAGGGAAATCTCAGACTGAGGTTAATGCATCAAGGCGGAGGTCTGAGATTTCCCTGTAATGACCGAACAGAGGAGGTTAATGAGTTGTTTATTATGTGGCCTTTTTAGTGCTAATTCTTAAATTGAATACAATAAAAGCAATAAAAGAACACTGGAAGTAATTTTCAACATTTGTGTGTAAGAGGTCATGTTCACTGAACCAAAACGAAGCTGGTGATGCAATCGAAACCAAAAGGCACAGTTTCTTTGACTGTGAGAAATCTTGGATCTGAGCCTGCATTCAATTCAAACCAAGAACTGGTCAGCGAATAACTTTAAGAAAAGCATGCCACCTCAATGAGTTGCACATTTGAGCCCATGATACGTTTGCCTGACATTGCTCCGGAGATTTACCTTTTTTGACAGTGAATTGACCATAACATAGATGTCCACTGTCAAGTTAAATGCAAATTTTGTATGCCTTGGACACCTATACATGGAGCTAGTATTGCCCGGTCATAACGAGACACCTTGCCCACTTAGCAGCCAATCAGAGCAAGTGTACTATTGTAGCAATGTAATTAATGATATTGTGATTTCCCATGCACTATCTTTAGTGGTTTAGAGTCAGGAAATGCTGCTTATTTGAAGATAATATACTTTATGTGAATTATTTTCCTGTTAGGACCTGGTATTCTTAAGAAATCAAGCAGCTCATTGGAGCCAGTGCCTGAGTTTGCAGAGTCGAAGATTCAGAGAGCAGATTCTAACCTGGAAACTGTTGAGAGTGAGGTACATTATTTTTACAGTACACTAATGTGCAGTCTCACTTTTACTCTACACCTTACTGTTACAGCTAGTACCTAATCAGGGGCGGGAAGGGGTTGACTTTCCCCAAAAAAACAAAACAAGACAAAACAAAGTAAAAACTGTTGATGATAGGTTGCTAAATTATTTTTCAGATTAACAAACATAATTATTCGACACTACATTATTTTGCAGATGTACATGTATGTAGGAGGAGTATTAATTTTAATCAGTGTTGCTCAAATTTGTTTTCACCAATAAGTATTAAGGAGTGCTAATATTTATTTTCCAACAAAAAAACACATTGTCTAATTGTTGGTGGGCACTGTAATTTTTTTAATATATGAATCACAAGGTAGACAATCTGTGAGTAATTACAAACACTGTGACCTTACCAATAATTTCCCCATAATTCTATTAACAAGTATATATACAATATGAAATTTTACATTGTAGATTTGGTACTGCAAATTTTACACTGAAAAGTAAAAAGCTACGTGTACGATGAAAGCTAAAAGACTATTTGCAGCTTTCTGACTGCATCTATTAACTATGAAATACATGTAGATACAAAATTGACCAGTAATACAGTGTACAATCTACAGCTACACCTATAAAGTTATTTGGGCACCATTTGTCCACAGAGAACTTCAACTCCACATGAAGAACAGCAAAAATTTAAGACACTGTGTGAGGGTGTACAGAACTGTTTGGCTTTATTCCAAACGTCCTTGTCTGAGGTGAGCAACTATAATTAAATAACTGCAGTCTTATCTACAGCTGTTTGTCACAACTGGTAAACAGCTTGTGAGAGAGTATGCAGACTGAGACAGTACAAATTGGTGTCTCCAAGCAATATTCATTGTTTGTTTCTTTTACTGTATGATAAGTGATAAGCTTGTGTAGCAGATGCCTGTTATAAATTTTTGGCCCTACCAAAAGCAACAACAGCAACAATAAAAACAACTGAGAGAAAAAAAGAAAAAAAAAAGATTACCCTGTAATTAAGGAAAACCTCTCTCTGGGCACCTGAGAGAACCACATTACACAAACTCAACCATCATATGGAGTTGTTGCCAGAACTTGAAACCAGCCAGGCCACATTGGTGGGAGGTGAGTATTCTCAACACTTATGCACCACCCTTGCACTGCAAATTAGTAAGGCTTGACCTAATGAAAGGGTGCAGGGGTGTGTAGCCTTACTCTAATTCAGTCTACGTTGTATTAAATAAAGACTGTACACTTTAGAATTAGCATTTTTATATGCTGATCAATCTTCATGTGAGATAAAGATCTTTAACTGGGTTCTGGAGCTAACTGGCAATTGATTATTGTATGGTGCTGTTCTTGTATGTCTGATACTCATCTCTCATTTAACGTTAACTTGGTCTGTCTAGTCCTTAATGGGGATATGGCTGGATATACTGGTATTATTCTGGGGGGTGTTCTCGGAAATTTTTGGTGAGGGTTCAATGCTACTCAGTTCTCCAAATCCTAATCCCATTTCAGACTAAAAAAATGTTATTTTCAACACCCCTTTTTAGACCTGTTACACTGTAAATAGGTAGAAATTAAGTCATCATGTTTAAAATTAGACTAGAGCTCCAACAAAAATATTTCCTAATTTCCATTTTCGAATTTGCCTATTACTCTTTCTGTTTGAATCATTTGGAATTGGAATGAAAAAATACGTTTACTTTGTACACTCATGTTCTGTAGTTTCCTTGAAAACCATACCCGTTTCCAGACCAAAATGGGCGAAATCCTATAACTCATTTTCAGACTAAAATGGCACAAAATCTATACCCTTTGAGTTGGCACATACCTTTGTGGCTTAGTACCCCCCGCCCCCACCCCTCCGAATATTATCAGCAACACTTTATTAAATAATATGATTATTTTCTTCATTTAGTTGCTTTCTATCAAGGACGAACTGTTGAAGGTTAGTTCTAAGCATTTTGATTTGAATTCGAGAATGACTATGATGTTCAAAATTTTTTATTAAAACAGCAATAATGATGAATTGCGTTGACATTCATACTTGAATACGTACTTTGTAATATACAATTAAGTCGTTTCCATTATATGTATTCATACTTTTTTTGCACAAGTGGGTTTTGCAGTGCTCTCCCTAGGTAATGATAAGGATAGGCGGGGTGCCTGGCATTATTCATTGGAAAATCGTTGCCGTCTGGCTTAAAAACCAAAGATTTAACCCAATGGAGGCTTAATTTGTTGACATCAACAGAACTCGGATTTAAGAGACAAAATCATTCAATGAATTTGATGAAACACTGTCTGGTGTTTTTTCTTTTTTTTTGGTGGGGGGTTTAGATATTTCAACCTGCAAGTATATGTAGTTTTTCCCTTGTTTTAAGGTAATCCAGATTCTGGAATTTGGGAAAGTTTTTTTTTCCAGGATTCGTGAGCTTTGGAATCTGCAATTTATCTCGAGGAATCCAAAATCTCATTAACGATTGGACTCCAGAATCCGTGAGTCATCCATGTTCCCATCTCGGGCAGTTGTTGACCAATATCCACTCGTTTTGTTTCTTATTTTAAAACTAACAGCTTTACATGTAATTACATTCCTTCTCAGCATGCCCTTCCACCAAGTTTGCTTTTGAAAGTCGCTTTGGTTACCGGCAAGCTATTTAGAAGGTAATTTGAATTCAGTTTCTATGAAATATAAGTATTCTCAGTACATAATGTTGCGATTAACAGTGGTCATACTGCGATCAAATTTCATCGCTCCCAGCGAAGGTACCCTGATGGGGGGCATCAATAAGAGGCATAGCTGTATTTGCAGGTTACCTCACAGGAGTTAGTGCAAAACAATTAATTGCAGCTGACCAAAGCCCAAGCCAGTTATCCTGGAATTGTTTAACTGTTCACTTACATGTAAGTTATGAAAGAAATAGTTTTAGGGACTAAGGTTAGCTGCATTTATAGGAAGACAGACTTAATCTAAGTGGTGTCAATTATTTTTAGTTCTTCAGATTTGAGTGTTCCAATCACAGAGTTGGTACGAATGGTGAAACTGTACTCAACGCCATGGGAAACTAAGAGTGCTGCGCTAAAGAAGCTTCATGAAGACTACGAGAAGTGAGTAATATAATTCCTTTTCCTTCCTTCCTTCCTTCCTTCTTCCTAATGTTCGAGTAAAGGCCGCATTCATCTCATTCGTCTGACTGGGTGCGGCGTTTATTGGTAACTTTGCTTCCATTGTCAACGAAAATTACGTTAATATGAGACTTATTTTATTGTTTTTTTTTTCCTATTTCTACTTTAACAGCAAACAAAGGCAGCTTAACGTGGCTTTACAGAAACTCGTACTCGTTGGGATTCAGGTATATGAACGGTGCTTTTTCTTGCCTGTGCATTTCGAATGAACTACAGTGTGGTTTAGCTTTACGAACTTACACTCTTTGATTTATAAGAATATGTTTTATAAGAATATCGAGGCTGAAATTTGCGAAATTTTAAGAATATTTTAAGAATAACGCCGAGGCTGAGATTTTGAAAAGGACAGATTTTGGCTGCCTTTGTCATTCCGCTAACACCATACACACATTTCTCATGTACAGACAACCCTCGCTGGATAACAAAGAGTTTACTGCAGTGATTACACTTAATTGTCCTTGACGTAGTTGAAACAAAATCGGGTGCTTTCGTTTCCATCACGCTATTTCTGTGCGAAATGCTTTTTTTAAAGCCAAAACGGCCAAGTGTCGTTTGACGTGACATCTTGACCTCGCTGACTGCAATGAAAAGCGATGGAGCACGTGCACAATGTAACGCGATACAGATCTAGATATTGATACCCCAATAAATTCTAAAACGGAAATGTCATAAGCTATAATTTAGGAATAATACAAGAATATTTCAGCCTAAAATCGGCAGAAAAATAAGAATATTCCGCCTGGGCCGGAAAAACAACATTCTTATAAAAAAAGAGTGTATCTCGTCCTCCATCGTTTTGCTGTTTTTAATAATAGAAAATTCTTGTTCTTTCTTCTCAAAATTCGTGATCCAGGAATCTGTTTTGCTTGTGTAAAAATAATTACATTTTGGAATTGCATCTTATCTTATCTATTTTTTTTTATTTACATGTATTTATTTATTTTACACCTGTAATCTATTGTAATCGCCAAGCGAGGCTGTGATTACTCCCTTCCGATTTGCTCTCACCAAAGCCAATAGAGTCACCGCATTTGATCTATTCGTTAAACGTCGCTTGAAGGAGGTACATGTATTTTTGGTAGTGCTCTATTAAGTTCGACCTACATGTAGTGGAGGGA